CCCCAAAACCCCAAAACCCCAAAACCCCAAAACCCCATCAAGAATTATAGTAAAATTGAAAATAAATAATTGAAAATAAATATAAATTTTATATAGGTGTTAAGTTATAACAAGATAAGCTAAAATGGATTAGTAGAGAGAGCCAGAAAGCTAGGACAAGTAAATAGAGAAAATAATTGAGAAATTTCATCAGATGAATTAAGATAACATCAACAAAATAGTCTAGGCTAATGCGAAATTATATAATAATAAGAGATCTGAGAAGTAACAACCTAGATTTAAATTCAGCTATGAACTAAAATAAATATCGTTGAATGATAGTCAAGAGGTATAAACTCCGTAAAATGTAGTAAATCAGCATAATAACGCTTAGAATTGAATGCAATCTCATTCACTCTAAGTATCCCCAAGAGGATTAAACGAGAGCTCAATAATAACAGAATCAACTGCTAGGACAAAACCTATTTTGTAATCATCATTTAATAACTATGTCAATTCAAATTTTGCTTCTCCATTGAGCTAAATAAATAATCTGAGAGGAAAATTTACACGTGGTTCAGTGAGAATAAAAGACACTACTGAAGGCAGTGCTTAAAAAAGCAATTTACCTATGCTAAGAATCATTGATGATATGCAGCCTATTCATCCGTCAACAGCAATAGGCTGAGTGGAAGAATTTTAATTCACTGATAGAAGTAAAATCACTTAAGGATAGCGAAATAGGAAAAACCATACTAGTTTCAATCAATAGAGAAAGATAAATAGGTCCTTATTAAACACCTAGGGAAATCCTTTATTTCCTCATAAAGATTTCTTAGATTAATTTGAAATGACCTCTACTTTATTCCTCAAATCTAAGCATATAGATTTAGATCATGAGAAGAAGCCAAATTTAATTCCAGTAGATAAAGATCTTTTTGATAAGGTAGTAGAAGAAGCCAAGCTTATAAAACAAGAAAATCAGCAGCTAATGGAGCTTAATAGAAGAATCATAAAAGATCTGGAGATGTACATGTAAAAAGATAATTTAAAAGAAGCCAGCTACATCATCTAGGGATTATATAATTAATAATTTCTCCCATTACGGTACAAATTTTTGCTTTAAGACAGTAAGTGCTTTATTAAAATTACATATCACTATATTAGAAAAGGAGTATCTCAAAGCAATTGATTTCAATATTGAACATATTAAAACAGATGTAATCGGGCTTTACGAAAGTAGAATGAATGAATTAAGACTGTAAGCAGCAATGATACATGAGGATTATTATGAAATGCTAAGTCAATAAACAAAGCAAAATGTTTCCTTTAAAAATTTTTTATAAGAGAAATGAGAAAAATATAGAGCAGCAATTAAAGATTAAAAATTATAAATTTTAAGTCAACTGCTTAAAGAAAAAGCCTATTAAGAGACGATAAAAAAGCAAAGAGATGAAATGGAAAGTATGAATAAGCAATTTTAGGTTTTGCAATAAAAATTTGCAGGAATAAAAAGGGAAAATGACTCCATGACCTCCATCATTAAAAAGATTACAGAAAAAAGTAATCAACTTAAATAAGTCATTAACTTTTACAAACAAAAGTACTATGACATAGATATCAGTGAGCTTCACAAAAAGATTACTTTAGTTTCAACAGAGTGTAATAATTTAAAAGTTGTTAATAAGAAACTAAATTTTAATCTAGCCAGGGTGAAAGATAATCACCTGAATTTGAAGAAGAAGATTTCGCAAGTAACTGGATTCGTTTTAGAAGAGCAGGACAGAGAATAAGCTGCACAGCTTTTGGATGAGAAAAACAATTTCATCAAGAAGATACTTGAAGAGGATGAGATAATCTCTGAATCTGAGGATGAAAATAATGGCCAATTCTTTAATATTGGCCAGTAGAGAAATGCTTTTGATCCCTTGATAAGGGAAGAGTATGAAGAAAAACTTAAGAAAAATGATGATTTAGTAGCTAAGTTTTGAACATTTTAGATTAAAATCATAAAGTATAGCTATTATTATAGCTGTTTTTTAAGTAAATATTAATTCTATGATCTCTATTAAAAATGTATTGATAAGGATAAATATTGATAGTTAAGTGTTGAGGAAAATAGCTTATTCATTGTTGTATCCTCTATAAAAGTATTTTTCAAATTCTTGGTCTGGAGTGTGTTTTATTTCTGAAACTCAATTCATCATGATCAATTAGTTCCTCTGGATTTTACTCATTTATCATCACACTTACCTCATACTCTAAAAATTAATTTATAAGCAAGAAAATTACCGTGATTAGGGTTAAATGATTTATTTATTTGGCTGTCCTCATTTTGGTTAAAACCAAATTGCTTGTCTTTTTCAATAAAACTCAAATCTTCATACTTATCTATATTGGTAAAATACTCCATCTGAGCAAGGTTTTCATATCCTTGCTAAACTGCTTTTTGTTCACTTATCTCTTGCATATCAATTGCAATCTAGGGTCGTTACATTTCTAATTCTTTTTAAATAACCATATGATTTTTTAGTGTTTTCTCTGGTATATCTTTTACTAATTTTGTCCAGTCATAAAGATACACTTTCTATAATTAGATATATTACTATATTAAAAATTACCTCAGGTTTATCTGCATCATTTGCTACATCTTCACCATAAATGCAAGCATAAGAAAAATAATCAACTATCATATCGAGATCAACTTCTTTCTTGACTAAAATATTGGATCTCTTACGAATAATCTCCTTTATTCTCAATTTCATTTCCTTAGTACGTTTTGTATAAACTCTATCCTTACAATCCATATTCCTACTTTCAAGAAATTCACATGTTTGCTAAACATGCTCAAATATTTCTTAAAATGTACTTTCGTCATTTATATACCAGGCCAGTGAGGGAAATGTTTTTTAAAAATGCTCTAATGTCACATCTGAGGAAGGTCTTTGAGCGTTACCCATAACTATAATTTTTTGGAAAAATGATGATTTATTTAATTTTTCTAGACTCAACTAAATTAAATTTAGCCATATGGGGTTTTGGGGTTTTGGGGTTTTGGGG